AGGATAGAAAACACATACTTTTAGGAGCTAGGCGCAGTGGCTAAAGCCTGAAATCCCAGCACTTTGGGAGGCCGAGGCGGGCGGATCACCTGAGGTCGGGAGTTTGAGACCAGCCTGGCCAACATGGAGAAACCCTGTCTACTAAAAATACAAAATTAGCTGGGAGTGGTGGCACATGCCTGTAATCCCAGCTACTTGGGAGGCTGAGGCAAGAGAATCGCTTGAACTTGGGGAGGTGGAGGTTGTGGTGAGCCGAGATCATGCCCAGATGGTGCCATTGCACTCCAGCCTGAGAAACAAGAGTGAAACTCTGTCTCAAAAAACAAAAAAAGAAAGAAAAGAAAAAGAAAACACATACTTTTAGATTTTAGAAGGAGGAGATCCTGCCAAGTACTGGAGTAGTCCAGGGAGGCTCCCAAGAGGAGGCAAGATGGGGGAACAAGCCCTGGGAGAGTCTTCAGGATTCAGACAGGTAGAAAGGGAGGGTCCCCAGAGTGGGGAGGTAGGAAATGATGAGGTGCCAAGCTGGCTGGAGGGATGGAACATGAGGAAATAAACTGAAGTATCGGAGAGCAGCCTGAGAGGAGAAGACGGAGAGGAAACAGCCCTGGGAGGACCAGGAGGGGCACAAGTCCAGAGGACAGGCAAGGCCCACAGTGTGGCCTGGGGCCAGGGCATCACTGGAGTGCTGAGGGTGTGTGGAGATTTCTCTTCCACCCCGAAATGTGCTGCAGACCACCAGGCACAGCGCCCCAAGAATGCCTCTCACTCCCTTCCCTCAGCTCTGCCGTGGCCTTCTTCTCCCTCAGGGCAGTGAGTGCTGGAGAAAGACAGGAAAACCCACAAAAATCTTACAAATAAGACAAACATGTAGTGCAGACAAAGGCCGCGCTGGGTGGGATGAGGTTTCAGTTGCTCCCCAGTGGGGCGGACCCATCAAAGTGGCTTGTGGCCACAGAAAAAATGCGTCCTCTCTTGCTCTGGGTGGGGGTTCGTTGTCTCAGTTACCCCCAAAGAAAGCCCAGGCTGGGGGTTCCCATGGCCAGGGAATTGGGTCCTCCAGGTCACCCACATGGCCCCGCTCACCCTTCAGCAGGGCATCCAGGCCTTCTCAGGGAGCTGGGAGACCCACTTTGGGGTGTTGGTGGGGCTGTTTTAAGCTGTCCCCTGTTGCAGCTCCTGGACTTCCAGGTATGTGGTGAGTGCCCAGGGCATGGCTGGGGTGGGAGGCACCTGTGAAGCCCCCAGGAATCTCATGAAAGTCTGGGGGGGGGGGTGGTTAAGTGGTGCTTGCCATGAAGTCATGTGCCACCAGAAGCACCTCATTGCGGGGGAGGTACAAGGGGTGATGGAAGGAGGTGGGGGCAGGCATTCTCCTCTGTCCCTTGTCTCCCAATCCCCTCCCCGCTCTCACACCACTCCAGGCTCCCAGGCCCCTAGGGTTCATTCCATTTCTGCTCCATTTCCATGCCTGTTAATGGCCATTGTTCTGTGGAGAAAGACAAAAATGTTTTCAGTTTAGAGGCATTGTTTCGGACTTTCTCTCTGTGGGCCAAGGGCCTGGATGGGAAGCCTCTATTGGCAGAGTGGTCCCAGGCAGGAGAGGTTGGTTGCACTGGGAAGTAGGGGTGGGGCAATGGGGGAGGAGAGCCGGATGAGAGGCTGAGTGGAGTCCTCTGTCCATCTGTGCTGGGCGTGCATAGGGACAGCCCCTGAGAGAGGCCAGCCTCTTCTGTCTTTGGCCCCCTCCTGGCCCCCAGCCCCACCCCCAGCTATTTTGGCCCAGGCGTACTTTTCTCTTAGGCTCCCTGACTTTGGATGGGTGAGCAGCTTTCACTCTGTGGGCCTCAATTTCCTCATCTGTAAAATGAGAGGCTTCCAAGACTCTTCCTGCTTCTACACTTCTGAGCTCAACAGCTGTCACATCAACAGCCCTTTCTTTGCTCTAAGACTTCAGTGGTCAGAACTGGCCTAGAATTCAGGCAGTGGCTGAGTTGGTGGCCACCTGGGCAGCAGGCTTTGAGTGGGAAAGTACCTGCCTCTGGCACCATAAATGCCTTTGACTTACTTTGTGGTCTGGAATTCAATCACTAGAGAATCACTCTTTGGGGGCCTGTTTCAAATGCCATTTTCAATAAGTGGGGGGATAATTGCTAATACCTTCCAACAATGACTGAGAATAATCCTTTGCTTATATATTTCTCTTCACAATGTTGAAATCATTTTCAGCGATATGATCTCATTTGAGGCTGCAAACAACCCAGGGTTTAGCTGACCATTGAAAGGCTAAGACCCCAGAGGCTGTGACTCAAGAACTTGGACGCAGGTGGCTTCCTTCCAGGAATTACCTGTATTTTAATGGAGGACTATCTTGAGGGTAAAAATAATCATCACAACGTAATGCTTCTCTGGTGGCAGGCATTTCACCCTAGGCAGGCAAAGCTGTCTAGGGTGGCTGGGAATGAGGATGCTGTGCCCAGTGGGTGCATGCTCACTCAGCCCAGAGCCAGGCTGGGCCTGCCCAGTGCCTGCCACTGTTGTCAAATCAAGTGACCAGCCCTCAAGGGCTCACTAGTCCCCTGGCGGGGACAAATCAGTGTGGGCAGGTATCTGGGTTCACAGGAAACACCCAGAGAATGATTCCAGGAAGTCGATAATCATATTTCAGAGTAAGGAAGCCAGGCTTGGTGACCCATGCCTATAATCCCAACACATTGAAAGGCTGATGTGGATGGATCACTTGAGATGAGGAGTTCGAAGCCAGACTGGCTGACATGGTGAAACCCGTATCTACTAAAAATACAAAAAAATTAGCTTGACGTGGTGGCAGGTGCCTGCAATCCCAGCTACTTGGGAGGCTGAGGCAGAAGAATCACTTGAACCCGAGAGGCAGAGGTTGCAGTGAGCTGAGATCATACTACTGCACTCCAACCTCGGTGACAGAGCAAGACTCCATCTCAAAACAAACAAACAAAAACTGGTAAAGAATTGCATGTGCAGGAAATAGCAAGGATGCTCTTTGTGCTCACACATTATAGGTGTGAGCCACCTCGCCCAGCCTTTTAACCAGTTATTTTTTATTCACCAAGCAATGAGCAGTAAGGGTTCTTCTTGTGACCCAGCTTGGTAAGATGACCACAAGAGGAAGAAAGTTCTCTACACAGCAAAGTTTTTCTATAAAGGGCCATATACAGTAAATATTTGGGGTTTTACAGACCATATCATCTTGTTATAACTACTCAACTATGGGGAAAGTAGCCATTAGCATTATATAAGTAAATGGACGTGACTATGTTCCAATAAAAATTTATTAAAACAGGAGTCAGGCCAGACTTGGCCCTTGATCCATAGTTTGCTCTTTGAGAAAGCAAGATTTACAGTTAAGTAATAGGGCATGAGTTAAGCAACAAGATGAGTGTCATGGACCAAGAATACGGGCTCCCAGACATCCTAGGAATAACCAAGAGGTGGTGAGTGTACCAAGAGTTTATGGCATTTTGCATGTTGGAGAAGCGGGAGAGGTGAAAAAGGAGAGGTAGCCTGGAGTCAGACTGTGGCACCTGGGCTTTGAATACCAGGCTGAGTACTACTGGGAACAGAGATAATGTTCCCCCTACTGGGATACCATGAAGGTGACATTCATATGGGAGATTTATACTCGTAAGTACACCCCGGAGCTGAGCTGTAGCAGAGATAAGCTAGGCTTCGTGTTCCGGGAATTTCCTGTAAATTAGTTTACACTTCCAGGTAAATGTGGAGTGACATCACATCCCAGCATTTTGAGGCTAATTTTTTTTCTTTTTTTTTTTGAGATGGAGTCTCGCTCTGTCACCAGGCTGGAGTACAGTGGCATGATCTCAGTTCACTGCAATCTCTTCCTCCTGGATTCAAGCAATTCCCCTGCCTCAGCCTCCCGAGTAGCTGGGATTACAGGCATGCACCACCATGCCTGGCTAATTTTTTGTATTTTAGTAGAGACGGGGTTTCACCATGTTGGCCAGGATGGTCTCAATCTCCTGACCTTGTGATCTGCCTTCCTAGGCCTCCCAAAGTGCTGGGATTACAGGCGTGAGATACCACACATGGCCGAGGCTAATTTATGTTCATGTATTGTAGACAGAGAAAATGGCTGCTATATCTTTTAAATAATTTGAGTATTTCTTTTAAAGTGTATTGGAAAAAAAAGTCTTCTCAATTTGTTAGATGTAACATTTATTAAAGTTGATAAAATGTGTCATTCAAATCCTCTATTATTTTCATTATGACTTTTTTCTACTTGATCCATAAATTTCTGAGACAGGTCTATTAAAGCTTTCATCCATAGCCATAGATTTGTTCATTTCTCCTTGGTTTCTATCAGCATTTGCTTTATATATTTTGAAGCTGGGTTATTAGGTGCTTAAAGATTCATAGAAATTGTATATGTTTGGAAGATTGTAATTTTTACCAATATATCTCCTTCTTTCTTTTTTTTTTTTTTTTCTTTTTTTGAGGCTGGAGTGCAGTGGTGCAATCTTCGCTCACTGCAACCTCTGCCTCCCAGGCTCAAGCAATCCTTCCACCTCAGTCTCCCAAGTTGCTGGGACTACAGGCATGTATTTTTAGTAGAGATGGGATTTCACCATGTTGGCCAGGCTGGGCTTAAATTCTTGACCTCAAGTGATCCATTCACCTCAGCCTCCCAAAGTGCTGGGATTTCAGGCATGAGCCACCATGCCCAGACTTTCTTTGTTTCTTTTAATGCTTTTTGCCTTTGAATGTCATTTTGTCTGATACTAATATATTTCTTTTCTGTTATCATTTGCTTAATATATTTTCCCTATCTGTTTGTATTCCAAATGTTCTTGTCAATTTCAATACATCTGTATAAACAGCATATGTATAGAAGGATTTTGCCCTTTAATGGGAAGTTTTCTCTTTTCTCATGTATTATTAATGATATTTTTAGACTTACCCTGTCATTTTATTTTATGCTTCCTCTTTACCTTGTTTTCTTCTTATCTTTTTCCTCTTTCCCTGCTTTTTGTTAGATTGATGAAGTTTTCTTTGCCCTCTTCCCCATCTTTTTAATTCACTCTATTGACCTGGGAGTTGATTTTCCAATTCTCCATCTTCTGTTGATTATCTTTAAATTTGAATCTTTTTTTTTTTCTTCCATACCCTCCAAGGCAGATGAATCCTATATTCTTTAACTTCTGGTTTTCTATCAATGTCTAGAGCTGATCAGGCAGGAATTTTTTCTCCCTTAGCATTATTTAACTTTCTTCCTCCTCCCCCACCTGCCACCTCCCAAGTTGAGATCATCTGGGTAGATTATTGCTCCAAATTGTTATTTTTAAAATGTTTACATTATGCCTCAATAATTACTCAGACTTCACTAAAAGTTTTACTAGGTTCTTTGTTCACCACAGTTTCGGCATCCCACGTCTTCCTCTTTCTTGAATTCACTATTTTTCTATTGAAGCACCTCCCCTGGACATTCTTTAAGTAATACGAGGGTGGCAAACTTTCTTCCTGTAAAAAAAAAAAATATTTTTTCAGTAAAAAAAAAAAAAAAAAAAAGTCTTAATTTTCCTCTCCCACTTGAATACTTCATTTCCCTTCAGAGCCTTGGAGATAATATTTCATTGTCTTTTAACATCCAGTCTGATGCCAATTTAATATTATTGTATTGAAGACCTGCTTTTTTCTCTCCAGAAGCTTCTAAGCTTTTTTTTTCTTTTATTTTTATTGCTATAAAGTTTTACTATAATATCTGTAGGTGTAAGTCTTTTTTCCTGGGAAAGGTCAAGCTAATGATTAATTTCTTTCTTCAGCAACTGGGAAATTTTCTTTTGTTAGTTCTTTAATTATTTTCCCTCTTCTATTCTCTGAAGCTCTAGCTTTCTGTAATGCCTATCCCACAGATGGTTCTTAATTTTTTTCTCTCAGACTTTCTGTCATTTTATCTTTTTTACTGTGCTTAAGGAGACTTTCTCAGGTCAGTCTTCCTGATAACCAGATCATGAAACCTATCTAGACCATCTACTGAGTTTTGAATTTCAATTATCAATTTTTAAATTTCTCAGACTCCTGGTTGATTCTTTTAAATGGCTTTAATATTATTTTGCATCTCTTGAAGATAATAACTAAATTGGTTTCTGTATTGGTTTCTGTTTTTATTTGCTCTATTATCTCTATTACTTTGGGTATTAACTCTTCCATATGTTAAGTTTAGAGCTATGCTATCCAATATAGTAGAGCCTTGCTGCTTAAATTTAATTAAAACTTAATTAGATTAAAAATTCAGTTCCTCAGTTGCAGAAGCCACACTTCAATTGCTCAATAGCCACATGTGGTATATGGCTACATACTGGACAGCTCAAATATAGAACATTTCCATCATTATAGAAAGTTCTATGGGCAATATTGGCTTAGAGCTACTCCCTATCATGGATATATTTTTCATGAAATTTCTGGTGATTACTGATGTTCTGCTCTTCCTTAATTTGCCAGCTTTCTGTTCACTGTAGCCTGTCCCTGCTACAGGGTGTGGGAGAATGGTAAGTGGCCTGCTGTCAGCTTTTCTCTTGGCTCAGGGGTCCCTATTCCTCTCCCAGAGTGTCAGTAGCTACTTGGAGTACTGCTCACCTCTCTAGGCCAGCACCTTGGGGCAAATCCACTGCTGCTAGCTGTTGGACACTGGTGTTCAGGAATACCCCTGGGACTTCCCCTGGTTCCTTTGAGTCTGTTGTCTCAGGCTTGAAGTCCCCCAAACCACTCTTTTTTCCATAGCGGTCTTCTGCATGTTTTAGCTGTGGTTTCCTTCCGTTTTTTTCTTTTTCTTTTTTTAGACAGAGTCTTGCTCTGTCGCCTGGGCTGGAGTGCAATGGCGTGATCTTGGCTCACTGCAACCTCCGCCTCCTGGGTTCAAGAGATTCTCCTGCCTCAGCCTCCTGAGTTGCTAGGATTACAGGCACCCACCACCACACCTGGCTAATTTTTGTATTTTTAGTAGAGACTGGGTTTTACCATATTGGCCAGGCTAGTCTCGAACTCCTGACCTCAAATGATCTGCCTGCCTTGGCCTCCCAAAGTGTTGGGATTACAGGCGTGAGCCACTGTACCCTGCCAGTTTTATTTTTTTAATAGCTTTTTTTCTTTATTTTTCTGAGACAGAATCTTCCTCTGTCACCCAGGCTGGAGTCTAGTGGCATGATCTCAGCTCACTGCAACCTCTGCCTCCTGGGTTTAAGTGATTCTTCTGTCTCAGTCTCCTGAGTAGCTGGGATTACAGGTGCACACCACCATGCGCAGCTAATTTTTTTTTGTATTTTTAGTAGAGATGGGGTTTCACCATGTTGGCCAGGTTGGTCTTGAACTCCTGACCTCAAGTGATCCGCCCACCTCGGCCTCCCAAAGTGCTGGGATTACAGGCGTGAGCCACCGCTCTCGACCTCTTTATAGCTTTGACATTGTTTATCTCTCAGAGATCCAACATTTCTGATCTGCTGATAATTCTTGTTTCATCACATGATATTGAATTTACTATTTTATTTGTTCCAAGAGTTTTTCTGTCATTTTGTGGATTGTGGCAGGAGAGAGGGTCTTTTGCCAGCTTGACCCAAGCTGCCACAATGCCTTTGTATAAGCATCACTCTTCTTTGGACACACATTTTACAACCAATGATTGAAAACCTTGCAATTGTCAAATTCAGACAGGTGCTGGACTGACTAAATTAGAATCACCTGAGAATCCATGGACCCACTCCTAGGGGCTCTGAATGCACAGCTCAGCTTGGGACTCACTGGCTCACTAAGTGGGATGAGCAGGAAAGAGAATCAAGTACTCAAGACAGACCACTTTGTTTGTGGCCAATGCTCGAATGCCCAGGATCTCCAGTAGCCAGGTCACTATGTGAGTGAATGGGACAGTGGGTGAATATGGAGATGGGGAGTTTAGGGGCTTCTTTCCTTTAGGGCTGAAGGAGGATGAGAAATCACAAAACCCACTGAGGAGAACTCAAGGACAAGAGAGATAAAAAAGTACAACTGAATGGAACTAAGAGGAATGATTGCTGCAGGCCTCTCTCCCTCCCACAATGATATCAACCCCAGAGATCAAAATGCGGCCAGAAAATTCCCCCACCTAGAGATTTTTTAAAAAAACTTTAATTGCTATCCTACTGAGGGGCCAACTCCAGCTTTGAGGAGATATATTTACTGGTTAGATTTGCAGTAATGATTATTATTGTTACTGGTAAGAAGAATACACTCATTGTCTCCAGTGAGCTCACAATGTTGCACAAACATGACCTCATTTCTCCTCTGAATGGGGCAGGTATTGTTAACTCTGTTTTCCAAAAGAAGGACATGGAGGTCCACTGCAATCCAATGCCTTGAGCAAGGCCACACATCAAGAGAGGGAGGGAAGATGGAACCAGGCCCTGGGCCTCTCCCATTTGGGTCATGGGGCTCTTTGCACAGATCTAGGCTCATGTGTCTGGTCAGTCCCTAGACTTCACTTATCATCACAGAGCTGGTTCTGGGGATCTGAGGGGTTCAGAGAAGTCAAGGTCACCAACATCAGATACTAGGGGAGGAATAATCATTATCTTTCTGTGGCTCAGACAATTCTACACTCCAGGCTCAGCAATCAACACCTCCCTGGTTTGGCCCTGGTTTTGCTAGGCTCTAACCTAACTGATTTCCCTCCCCACTTCCTCAACAACTTAGGGGACTCAACTACTTCACCCCCTTGGATCCACTCAGACTGAGAATCATATTCACACCAGACTTGTCCTTTTGCCCCACAACGAGTTCCTCCTGCCTGTTAATTGCAGTACATTTTGGCCACTGTGAAACTCTTTAGGCCCTTGCTTCTGCCATCCCCTAAACTGTCCTAGATTACCCTCCCTGCTTCCCACCCAAGCATCAAGCCTCAGCATGCTCAAGACACCTTCCCTAAACCTTCCAGAAAAGTCCCTCTCTGAACTCCTGCCACCCTTATTCATTCATTCCACAGGTAATCACTGAGGACCTACTGTGTGGCAGGCAGTATGGGAGATGATGAGGACACAATAGTGAACAAGCCAGACATGGTCCCTGGTCTAATGGAGCTTACACTGTAGCTGGGGAGAAGAGAAAAACAAAAGTAAATAATTCAGTAAGTCAAATATTTACAAGTTGCCATAAGCTCATACGAAAAGGCCTCCCTAGGCTGGGCGCGGTGGCTCACACCTGTAATCCCAGCATTTTGAGAGGCCAAGGTGGGTGGATGACCTGAGGTCAGGAGTTCAGAACCAGCCTAGCCAACATGGTAAAACCCTGTTTCTACTAAAAAAATACAAAAATTAGCTGGGTGTGGTGGCACACCTGTAATCCCAGCTACTCGGGAGGCTGAGGCAGGAGAATTGCTTGAACCCAGGAGGCAGGGGTTGGAGTGAGCCAAGATCACGCCATTGTACTCCAGCCTGGTGGGCGACAAGAGCGAAACTACGTCAAAAGAAAGAAAAAGAAAGAGAGAGAGAGAGATAAATAAATAGAAAGAAAGAAAAAGAAAGAGAGAGAAAGAGAGAGAGACAGAGAGAGAAGTAGGTCTCCCAGTAAAATCTAAAGAAATTAGGGCCTCTGAAACTTACTCCAAATCTGCCCATATCTGTCCATCTTCCACCCTGTCCAAGAAAGAGCTTGGCTTATCTAGGTATGTCAAAAAGGGTTGTGTGGCTAAAGGGTGATGGTGGATGACAGCAGAGGTGCACAAGGTGGTGCAGGAGAGGGAGGCAAGGCTGGATTACACAGGGCCTTGAAGGCCATGCCAAACAGCTGGATTTCATGCTCAGAACAATGAGAAGACATGGTAGGATTTTTGACCAGGGAGTAATATGGGCTGACTTATACTTTATGATGGAGATTCTCAGTGTGGCAGCGGGAAGAGGAGTTAGGGAGATTATTTCACTCCCCTCCTCCAGGGGACATTTGTCAATGTCTGGAGACATTTTTGGCTGTTGCAACTAGGGGAGGGAGTGCTGCTGGCACCTAGTGGGTAGAGGCCAGGCATGCTGCTAAATATCCTACAATGCATAGGATTGTCTCCCCAACAAATGTCACTCATGCTGAGGTTGTAAGGCCCAGCTTTAAACTGACTCTGGCGGCCATAGGAAGGATAGATTCTTAGCTCCCAAGAATGGAATTAGGGAGAGCACCTGGAAAGCTATTTAAATCAACTTCATATAGCTATGGTATTGACCCACCTGAACCTTTCTCCCAAACCTTAACCTCCCTGGTGTGGGGTCTCTGCTTTCTGTTGAGTGACGGCCAGCCAGCCAATCAGCCCAAGTCACCCTCCAAGAAGCCCCTTTGCATTTTAACCGGGACCTTCTGGAGACAATGCTATAACCCAAAAGAACAGTCAGGCTGGCTGAGCAGTAGGGCGAGTCATGCCAAGGCACCACTGTGCAGAAGCCACCTGCTCGAAACCCTGCAGATGAGGGTTTAGAGACCAACTCCAAGCACGCTATTTTCCTCCATAGTCA